GACGATGGAGATGATGATGCACATGATGATGATGATGATGATGATGCTGGAGATGATGATGGAGATGATGATGGTGATGGTGGTGGTGGTGGTGGTGATGATGATGGTTCAATAAATGTCGACAACAACAATTTTCCGTGACATGCTACAGGCAAGGAGACATGATTGTATCTCTCGCCGACTCCTTCGAGAGTTTAGCTCTTCTCTTGTACGGATCCTCTTCTTTCTGCTCCTCTCCTCTCCTCTCCTCTCCTCTCCTCTCCTCTCCTCTCCTCTCTTCTCCTCTCCTCTCCTCTCCTCTTCTCTCCTCTCCTCTCCTCTCCTCTCCTCTCCCCTCCTCTCCTCTCCTCTCCTCTCCCCTCCTCTCCTCTGCTGTTCTTCCCTCCTATCTTGTCCTGTCTTGTTCTGTCCTATCCTGTCCTGTCCATCACTTACTCGTCTCCCAACAGCTACGGTGATTGGATGGACTGGGCCTTCTCAGTACTCGATCGGCTGATCGGTAGAAGAGCGACAGTCGCTGTCGAACTTTCTCACGCTGCTTGCAAGGAAACGAATCGAATGTGGTCGACATCTGCCCTGGGGTGACGGGGAAGGAGGGCAGGACGAGCAGCTGTGACTGGCACTGATCAGGTTGGATACTCGACCCTCTACTTCGCGAACAAGGTCAGACGAGGGAAAGTCATCGTAGCAGAGCCAAGAAGGCACCTGGCCAACTGTCTTGCTGCTACGCTGGGCATTTCCTCGCACAGCAATGTGCATCTCCTTCCTTGCATCGCAGGAAACGGCCGACAGGTACGTCGGGATCGGGTTGACAGCATCAAGAGGCTGAGGATGTTCCTTTTACCCTGCTCCTGCTCCTGCTCCTGCTCCTGCTCCTGCTCCTGCTCCTGCTCCTGCTCCTGCTCCTGCTCCTGCTCCTGCTCCTTCTGCTCCTGCTCTTCCTCTTGACTTGCTGATCTTGTAGCAAGTCGTCGACATCAACGAGTCTCTAGCCTCCAACTCCGCCAAGGTCTCATCTCAAAGTTCTCCCTTGTCTTTCCCTTCACACACAGTAAGTTGGCAGGAGCGGACGCTACCAACATGCACCTGCCCGACAGTGTCCCGTGCAGAGCTCTTGACGACGTTCTGCACCCCAGCAGCGGTACCAGCAGCTCCCCTGACGGCGGGGAGGCAGCGGAGGCAGGATCGAGGAGAGTGTAGCAGATCGAGTTCACTTGATCAAGATCTCGTTGTGCGCGTACCCTCCATGGCAGGATGTTGTCGCTGGTGCCCGAGGTCAAGTTTCCGTTCCTCCTCTCCGACTGGTCTGACTTGACTGGCAGCTGTTCTGCTCCTCCATCAACCCATCCTGTACATCGAGACCCCTAGAGGGCACAAGGCAATGGAGATTGAAGGAAGATTGAAAGGGCTTGGAATGACATACAGGTGTTCTCCTCCCCTCTCCTCCCCTCTCCTTTCCTCTCCTCGGTCGCTCCTCTCCTCTCCTCTCCTCTCCTCCTTCGCTCCGCTCCTCTCCTCCTCCTCTCCTCTCCTTCTCCTCTCCTCTCCTGTCCTCCTCCGCTCCTCTCTTGTCCTCCTCTCCTGTCCTCTTTTTCTCTCCTCCGCTCAGCTCCTCTCCTTTCTCCCCTCCATTCCTCTTCTCGTTCTTCTCCTCCTCTCCTCCTCTCCTCCTCTCCTCCTCTCCTCCTCTCCTCCTCTCCTCCTCTCCTCCTCTTCTCCTTTCCTCCACCTTCCCCCTTCCTCCCTCTCCCTTCTGTTTTCGTACTGCATCTCGGCTCCTTGGAATCTCCCACCCTGCTCCTTCATCATCTCTTTCGTTCTCGTCCGTTCCCTCCCTCCTTTCTTCCACTTTCCCTTCCTCTCCCTTCCTCTTCCCTCCTCCCTCACTCAGCCAGCAGGTGCTACTGGTCTGCAGGCCGTATGTTCCGCAAGGACAACTGGAAGCAGAACAAGTTTGACCTCTTCGGACCCGTTCTCTCCGTTTTCCACGCCCTCTGCATTCCTCCTCACATCAACCTCGTCGGCCTCCGCCCCATCCCCGAAGACCCATGGCACAAGCATGCGCAGGTTGCGAGCTCGATGTACGAGGGAGGCGAACTGACCTTGCGATGCAAGATTCCGCTGGACGAGCTGTTCGTCAGTGAAGTGCTGAACATCTCAGTCAACAAGGTTGATAGCAGCCCTCGCCTACTGTCTCAATCATTCTTCATTCTCACATCTCATTCATCCTTCTTCCTCAGTTCGACGGCCGGCATGCCTGGCTGCCTGTGGGTCCGCAGAGCGCGCGGCCGCTCTTTCCGGCGCTGAAGGAGCACAGGAGGGACCCACGGCTGATCTCAGTACCTTCTGCTCCTCCCGCCCTCCCCTCCTCACTCCTACTGCCTTCAGATCAAATCTTTTCTGAGCGAGGAAGAATGTGACCTCCTCGTTCAACTCGCTGCTAGCAAGCTGAAAGTACTTCTCCTCCTCCTCCTTCCCGCTCCTCCTCCCAGCTACCTCCTTGCTCCTCCCCCTCCTTGCTCCTTCGCCTCCCTTCTCCATTCTCCATGTGCCTCAACCTGCACCCGCACCTCCATCACCACCATCTTCTCCTCGATCATTAATTCAACGTTCTACAGCATTCTGGCGTCGGGATACGCACGGACGGCTCGACAGATGCCGTCACGTCGGCGAGGAGGCAAGACTTGTCCCTCCTCGCCTGCACGAACTGAGGAGGAGCAACCAGGTCAAAGTCAGCGGCGATCAGGCGAGGGGTCCACGAGACTGTCTCGTCCATCGAGTACGGGAGGAGGAGGAGTAGGAGAGGAGCAGGAGGAGGAGGTGGGGGGGGGTTGGTTCGGAGGAAAGAGCAGGAGTTGCAACATCAGAGCATGACAGAGCAGCAGAGCACGAGCGTCTGAACTCCTTCAACTGCCCATCTCACACTTCGAGGCGGTGCAGGCAGGGGCGGCAGGGTCGAGGCAGCTGGACCTGAGCTGCGGTGCAGGTGGTTAGGTACGAAGTGGGAGGAAGCTACGAACAGCACCTTGACACCGTCCCTGTCATCGGCGACGCGCCAGCGGCACGAAGGTAGGCACGAGCCAGTGATGGAGAAGGAGGAGAAGGAACGTCATATCCTCTTTTATGTCTTCATCTCCTCCGAGAAGAGGAGGGGAGGAAGGAGAAACAGTACACCAGGAGGAGGGAGAGGAGGAGGGAGAAGGTAGAAGGGGGGGAAGGAGCCGGGGGAAAGGAAGGAGGCAGACAGGGAGAGAGGAGTGGAGGCAGGAGGAAATGATCTGTGAAGCAGCTCGCTAGAAGAGAGAGGGGGTCAACGGATCTCGACGCTGCTGCTTTATCTCAACACAGTTGAGGAGGGAGGCGAGACGAGCTTTCCGCTCCTAGGTATCCTCCTCAAATCCTCGCGTGGTCTCTATCTTTTCTCCTCTCCTTGCTGCTCTCGCTACTTCCATACACGCCTCCCCTCCCCTCCCTCCTCCTCCTCCCTCCCTTCCT